GGGGTACTATTTGCAGTGCTATATGGTAAATATTATTTTGTTGTAAGTTATTTATGAAATATTTTGTAATTTTAATTTTTTTAATGTGATTATTAGATTTAGTGTAGTATTATTTGGGTGTGATTAAATTATTAAATTTAGTATAGCATTATGTGGTTGTGAGTAAATGTTTATTGTGGGTTAGTTTTGTATTTAAAAAAATTTTTTTATTAGCGGGGTATTTTTATTGAATTTGTTATGTAATGTTTGAGCGATATTGGTTTGTTTTATTTTAGTTTTATTGTAGGTTGGTGTGATGGTTTGTTCGTTTGTGTTATGTTTATTTATTTTATTTATTTGTTTCGTGTTGTTAATTTGATTTTGATTAGGTTATACTAATTAATGTTGGTGTGTAAAGTTATGTTTTTATTAGTGAGGCTGTAGTCTGTGTAGTATTTAGATTGGGTTAGTTCGTTGATTGTTATTGTGTATGGGAGTTTTGTATTTTAGGGTGACGATGTAATTGTGTAATGTTTTCTTTTAATTATGTAATATATATTTATAGATGAGAATTGATTTTATGAAATTAGTTAGCGTTTAATTGTTTATGATTATATTTACGTGTTGCTGTATTGTTAAGTGTATTTAAGTAAAGTTTTTATATATTCTATTTTCTAAGGTTTTATACGATGCCTTGTTATGCTGATACGATTGTTAGAGTTAAGTTTGTAAAACAAACTGTTAAAGAAGATTCTAATTTGTTGGTCGTTTGGGCTCTTGGCGTATATCCTGTAGAGCAGGAGGATTATAATATTGAGATGACTTTGTTTGCACCGGTTAATCCGGATGATAGGGATCCTGAGTCTCAGGCTCTTTTGTGAAGGATAATTTTTTTTCAGTTGGGGGTAAAATTATTCCTGGGTTTTACGAAGGAAATAAAAGGGCAAAGGTATTTATTGTGTGTTTTATCGTAATATGTAGTTATTAATTTTTTATTTAAATTGTAGAGGACGGTTTCGACTTCTACTCATGTAACGATTTTTAGTAAGGTTGATGAATCTAATAAGTGTCCATTAAAGGTATCTTTAGTTGGAATTCCTCAAGAGGTGCCGAATGAAATTAAGGATGATGCTATTGTTCAGATATTGGTAACTGATTATGTTGGTCAGGAGGTTAATTTTAATATGAAGGTTGTTTTTCCATGTCGTAATGCATGGTTTACTTATGTAAAGGATAATATTCGGCCTAGAGAATCGATCATTAACAAAATTATTAGTATCCTTCGCACAATCTACTCCAGCAAATTCTCCAATATCCTCAACATGACTATG